GGTGGCACAGGTGGCGATGGCACTGGAGTCGATCGAGCACCTATCTCAAGTCCTGCTCGTCTCGCACATGCTTCCTACGCCCATCCACAGATTTTCAGGGCGGCGCTTTCACAGCCTCCTCACGGGCGTCGTGACTCTGGGCGCTAATGATACACCGGACGAGCTGTGGTCAGCGTGTACAGAGGGCCTCGAGGACGCCTATGCAGTAGAGAGAAAGAAAAAATCAAAGAAGGACAGAACGCCAGAAGGGCCATCGTCCGCCGCTGCTAAAGGGAGGCCTGTGTCGAAGAAGAATGGTGGACTTTTCGGTTTGCTTGCCGACGCCGATGCTTAGAAGTGGTGTTACTTCGACGCTAGTTAGCGGCTCTCGAGGTCAGGGCAGGTGCGCCGTTGTCTCCTGCTAGCTTTGTATTTCTCCTGGCGTGCAAATATTCATCTCTGCGCCTTTTCTGTCATAAATTGCGCCGTTCTTCCATCGTCAAATACTCACACATAGGGTTGCATAACATGCACGGACTTGCATCTCAGCACATATATGAAACGGGATTCCACCAACATCGCATGCATACGTTGTAGCTGAACGTTGAGCGCTCTTAACTCTTGCCTAGCTCGCTCAAATCCTTGTCACGTATGGTGACATAAATATGGGTGAAGGCCAGTGGTCTGCGTTCAAGAACTCGATCTCGGTGCGTAACTTCTGCCTTCCATGTTCCTGTGAAAATATTGACCGCAGTATAACTCATCATGCCGCCCATTCGCTTCCATTTAGGTACTCAGGAGGCAAGGAACGTGACTCGCCTCCTTCTTATCTGACTATCGCGCGCACAGCGATCGCTACGGCAGACAGTTCTTGTCAGATTTGTGGACTGTGACTTCTAGCCGGGATCGCTTTGCAGCGCCTTACGCAGTTGAGTGCCACCTATCTCATCTGGAAGAGGATCGCCTAGCTCAGCACGGTAAGGTCACAGGTGCGGACCTCTGCTTTCATTTCCCTGCGGTCCTTGATAGCTAATTGGTTTGTTAGCAAGAAGTTCAGTAGGCTTAGCCGGAGTCCTTCATGCAGGCGCGTCTATCTTAGAACGTTTCTCCAGGGTTCTCCGAGCTGGAGCGTCGATAAGTTCCCGTTGCAATCTCGGGTAGGTTCTCCCAGTGTGGCGTGAAGGTTCTCAACTACATTGTCCTTGCTGTTGTATCAATGGAACTTCTGCGATACAAAAAGCCTCGGGTTTCGACGTTTTTCATTTCGCCATGTATCGTCGTTCCGATTGTGGTTACAAAATTGTGGCGAGAATAAGGATGCCTTGCAATACGCGGTGACAACAAAACGGCGAGCTCCTTGTAATGCATTGCCCAATCTACTTACAGTACAATACATCCTCGCAAGCTTGACGGAGACCATGACGTTCCTCACTCCCTTGAGAAAGCTAAATTTGGCACGCTGTGGTGGGTCATGGATTTCGAATCCAGAGTAATCGTAGGTCTGCGTTGCTCAAGCACCGGAAATGCCAGCAGCACCATGCCGGTGCAAGCTGTAGTACACGACGTAGGGTGTATGAAGGAGCGATGCGAAGAACGAGGAGCCGACTATTAAAGATGACCCGTAGGCTGTGCCTGCGCGCGAAGTGCCACACCCAAACAACATAAGCGCTCACGAACTCGAGCGCCCTATTCCTATAAATGTGTTTCCGTCCGGAACCCTGCATCCTGCGCGTTTTAAGCTGTCACAAGGCTATGCCAGGAAGCGGTGCGTGACACTTTTTGTCCTGCATGCACGGCATGCCCGATATAAAGGTCCTGCGCTTTGCGAGAGGCCGTCAGTACACGTACACACCCTGATCCTCGAAAGGCGCCCACTCACCACGACATGAGAGATAAGCAGCGATCCGCACCATCACATGCACGCGCAGATATAGTCACCTACCGCTTCAACGACGAGCTGGTATACGTCACGCCCGCGCGGGACTACAATGTGCGTAGGCTTCCGCCCCTCCATCATCATCCATGCCCGAGCTAACGGGGAATGAACACACACAGGATGCGATAGAGTTCGCACGGAAGGTCTTCCCCGCCGGCCTACGCGGCGTCCCGCGCGACCGGATAGCACTCACCGTCAATGTGACCATGAAGGGCGTGAACCAGCCTGTGCGCATCAGCCAGATGGCGTGGCCGTCGGTAGCGGAGCGCCTACTGCGCTACGAGGTCATCAACATAGCCATCACTGAGCCCGACGTCCAGCTCCCGGACATCATCGTGGAGGACACGGACGCGGACCCGCCCGAGTACCGCCCAAGCTTGCAGTCTGTGGACTCGAAGGAGGGTGGGAACCATCCCGAGAGGCGTCGGTCGTCACCACCCGAAGCTAGTACGCGGGACGGTGGTGCGATGCCATACAACATACGGCATAGCAGTAGCGACAGGGGAGGGCTGCGGGAATGGTTCGTGCGGCATGCGCGGGTTTGAGGGGAGCAGAGCAGCGCCTGCTTGCTTATATTTATGAACTGGAGGACGGGAATTCCGCTGGACATCCATCCTGGGACATTGGGGCGGCGATCTGCACTCTAGACGTCATGTAATCTTATCATCCTCATATACCCTACAACACTCTTGCTAATCCACTCAACTGCGAGAAACGGCGAGAAATCCCAAACAATAGTCTCTCGTTAGTCGAGACAGAGTGGCTGGTGGAATTTTCTGGATACTTACTGGACGTTTGACCATCTTGTGAGATTCTCTCATGCAAGGCACTGGCGATATTTAGAACGATGGTAATATATTGTCTCCTGCATAGTGCCGAGAGTAGATAACACCTTCGCAAGGACTTGATCAGGCGCGTGCATAGCAAGTAGGCAGAGTGACTCACCTGGACTCCAATTCAATGCGGCTCCGTCTGACTGTGCCGCAACAGTGCCTTGCTCCTGAACGTCGCATTGTACTGCAGCAAATTATTGATATCGCGCACCCAGTCGTCCTCCTTGCCCGGCGGCACGCCCTCGCCCTCACCCTGCGTCTCATCCGCGATCGACGACCGGTTGATGCACGGCACAGGATACGGCGACGCTTCGACGGTGACGGACTCGCCAGGGTTCAGGACGTGCGAGACGCGCCCGTCCATGGAGACGCCCGCCGAAGCGCGGCTGCGCTCGCCGATCTGGAGGTATGTAAGTACATGGGGACAGTGAGGGGGGTGAGATCTTGGGAGGTACGTACGCGAAGGGTGACACTCGATGATGCGGGGAACACGAGGGGGCGGAAGGAGAGGCTGCGTGGGCATATCGGGGTCATGACGAGGGCACTGAGCGAGGGATGCACGATTGGCCCTCCGGCAGAGAGGGAATATGCAGTGGAGCCCGTCGGCGTGGACACGATGAGTCCATCTGACTAGAGCGAAACGTCCAGTGGTGATGAACAGAAGAATGGGAAGGGGAGCGTGCATACCACGGCCTCAGTGAGGTGCTGCCCGTCGACAAATATGTCAACGGTGTTGAGATGTGGGCTCGAGCCGCGATGCAGAGCAATCTCGTTCATGACTTGCCAGTCTGTACCATTGATTGAGACTCTGGCAAGAAACTCCCAATAAGTATGCAGCACCGACCGTCGCCCTCGGACCCGATTTTTTGGCCGTCCTTGTCGTAAAAGGACAATGCAAGACGCATGCGGTGCAGTATGGTAGCTTTGCCGTCGAACACGCTTTCAAATGCCTTTGCAAAGTGGTCGATGTCTTTGCATCAGACGGGGTATTTGGTTGAGGCTTTACGGGGTGAAGCAGAGGCACGACTCACGAAAGGGTAAGAGGAACCCAAGAGTGCCCATGGAGAAACTCAGGACCTATGCAGGCGATATTAGTGAGCATAGCTGGCGTAAGATGGATGCGGTAGCGTACGGGTGGCACGGCGCCGGCACTGAAGAGCGACGACGCGTGCAAGATTGTGCCATCACCACCCAAGGTCACGACAAGGTCGATTTTCTCAGAGTTGGGTCCTATGAATTTGAGTTATGACAATGGTTATGGTGGGCAGGATTTGGCTACGTACCCGGTGCCCATACATGCGTACCTTCGGGAATGTCGGGTCTGTCCTCGCTGTACACCTTCACTCCGGGATATTTTTCTTCGATGTGCCTGCAGACACATTGAGCATTTGGGTATATCGATATCTATGGTTTGACACACGCAAGGAACGTCGCGATGGCGTGTAAGACGGGCTGCGTGCGGAGTTTGTTGACTATAAGGATTGTCTTTGGGGGTTCAGTGATCGTAAGGCTTGGCCGTCTATTTCTCCTGCGTGAGTGACCATTCGAGCGGATTACGGAGTGCGACCAACGTTCGAAGTGTGGAACCTCGAGAGGCTGCTCTGGACGCGGAGAACGGACGCGTTTGACTCTGCCCAGCTGCAGTCAAGCGACGAACGGAATGTCGGTGAGGCCTCGAAGCGTTGATGGAGGCCGCACGCAATTGGGCGAGTACACGGTGGGCAAGCATGATATACGGACGTGCATAGACGTTGTGGTGTGTAGCTGAGAGCAGTGTACTGGCCGAAAATTCTTGCAACTCTTCCACCCTGAGTCGATGGCAGCTATTTATGAAGTCACAGGGGCTTGTCCAAGCTGTCTTCGGCCGAGCAGGACCAAAGTACTTCAATCTGTGCAGTTCAACTTGAAGAACTGCTTGCTACTGCATCTGCAGACTGCTCAACGTTCAACGCTCAGCTAAGATTCGCACTAGCCATAGGCTTTAGTCGGGCTTTAGCGTTTCTTCCACTGCAACTACCACTGCCCAAAGCCCGGGTCCAGTGTTCGAGGCAACACTAATAAAACTACGGACGTTTCGTATCTCCACGGAAGTCTCAAGTTATGCTAGTAGAGATTTGGACGGCAGACCAGCTTCAAACTTTAAGTTGGACGCATCTTTTTGTAAACGCTCAACGACTCCGTCCAAGTCGGGGCCATTCTTCTACACGCAGTTTGCCTCAGGATAAAGTCATTCAAAGTAAACCGATATACAAGGCAACATGGCCGAGCGGTCTAAGGCGCTAGATCCAGGTTCTAGTCAGAAATGGCGTGGGTTCGAATCCCACTGTTGTCAGATCTTTTGCTTTTTGTTATTTTGACTGACACCTTTGTACGAAATGTTGAATGTCTGTACAAAATGAACATGTAGATATAGCTTTTGTGGGTGGTAGTTTCGTGGTTTAGCCGTACGCGTACCAGCCTTGGGATATTCCGCTGGGAAGGCTAGCACTCGAAAGTATATGTACAGTGTCTCACAGTTTTTGGTAAAAAAGCCCGGCAATTCTTGGTCGCGATGTGCACCTTGCTGGACCCCAGCAGCAAAAAATAGTATTGCCATCGCCATGTTCGTCACTCGACAAAACATTCAAGGCGCAGCCGCGCAGGCGTTGCGCAGGGCAGATGAATATTTAAACTCCGCGACATTGAGTCAGTAAGTTGGACAATGAACGCGGCTCGCGCCAGAGACGCGTTGACTCTTGCCACCGTGCCACCACTTGCCACCAACTTGCCATAAACACGGGACTGTGCCACCGCCAGTCGCTCAATGCCATTGTCCGCATCCAAAGCGTCCAAAGCGGTCCATTTGTAATGTGCGTTCTCTTCCTCTTTTTCCTTTCCCCGTTCTCTGCCTATCCCATATCCTTTCCACAATGGACTCTCCACCCCGCCGGCCAGGAGCTCACCGTCCAAACTTCGTCCAACAGTCTCTCCCGCTTACTCCTGTCAAGCCCCGCCAGGCAGACAACTACCACTACCGCACCGGCAATCTCGATAAACAACGATCGATCGTCATGCAAGGCTTGGGAAAGGTGCCCGCGCTCCCCTGGGACGAGTTCGAGCACTATCTACCACCGAATTGCGTCGACATCCCCGCCGTCGTCAAGCTTCTCAAAAAGCGTAGACACATTGCCAAGAATCGCTGGACAGCGTTCGCCACCGACCCGATGAAGATGAAGGGCGACGAGACCAAAGTCTTTAAGCACCTGGACACTGCCGTCATCGCCAAGATTGTCTGTGCGTCAGCGGAGTGCCTTCTCCCCGAGTTCCGAGATAGAAAGCCAACGTCGAAACCCATGCAAAACCCGCACAAAATCCCCGAGTCCACGGACAGGACCAATGCTTCTCGTCCAGACGGCGTCATGCTGCTCCTCGAATCAGAATACGAGTGGGATGGCATAGTCTCACCGGAGGAGTTTAAAAAGTTTATCGACGCAAAATCTGCCTACGATGTGCGCATGCTCTTAACTAACATACCGTCCGCGCTACCTACTCACTTGCGCGGTTTAGAATAAGTGCAAGATCATCTGGAGCTTGCACCATATCATGCGCAGCGATCCGTGTAGACGGTTCACTTTCGGAATTACTATCGACAACGTCTCCATGCGGGTCTGGCTCTGCAGCCGTGCTTGCATGGTCGTATCAGATGCTTTTAATTTCACGACCGTACGCTGTGTTACAGCCATTGTCACCGTTCATCCATTGCTAATCAAAGTTCCGTAGGACTTCGCGAAGGTCATCCGCGTGTATTCCTCGCTTGCGTTTGGAACCAAGACAGAGCTTGGCTGGGACCCTACCTTCCGCTCCTTACCGGGTGTTAGCCCTAAGCAGTATGAGATCGACGTCTTCGAGGGCCCTGACAAGCAGAAGAACACCTACAGCGTCGTTAAAATTATCTGGGATGTTGGCGCGGAGTTCTCTCAAGGACGGGCCACACGGGTTTACGAAGCCCTTGATGCCGCTGGTGACACGTTTGCTATCAAGGATGTATGGCGCGAACAGGACCGCGACCCGGAGGGCGATATACTCAAGGCGTTCCACACGAAGATCAGTGGTGGGACCTCCAAGGTCGACAAGGAGTTATTCATGGAGATGACCCAGCATGGGGATGTCATTGTCGACAACAACATCGACGATAGCCTCCACACCATAATGCATGGTAGAAGTTTCCCTGAAGTATACGGCTATCTCTCGCTCTTGCAGCAGCCAAAATCCGACGCTCAACGGCCAGGGGGTCACGCGATGTCTTCGACCGACGGAATGGACTCTACCACGCGGGTTCGCTAGCTGAAATCCGATAATAGGCGTCGAGTCCACTATCGAATCGTCTTTCCTGGTGTTGGCCTGGCCATTCATGAGCTCGATAACCTCGGTGAAAGACTTGTAGTTCTTCGCGATGCAGTTAAAGGTAGGTCACCATGCATCTTGTCGGTAGGAGCAAAATGTTGATATGGCAATACTCGCAGGGCTCAAGATCATGTCGGATCACAATCATGTTCATCGCGATGTCAGTGTGGGGAACTTGCTCGCTTTTCGTCGCGATGGACAATCGTGGACTAGTACGCGCGGCAAGCTCTCGGACTTCGAATATGCCATAGATATGGCGTCAGAAGCACTTGCACACAGCATACGCACGGTACGTCAATTTTGGACGTCTGCATAGGGCTCCGTCTGACACCGACTCATCTTCTCCACAGGGAACTATCGACTACATGGCCATGTTTCAGCCAGACTTGGACGATATCGACGACTCCGTGGCTGAGGATTCCGAGCCAGCCCCACTCATAGCGACTCCTGATGTGGTCTTTCGCCACAATTTCTTACACGACCTCGAATCGACGTGGTGGATTGCCTCGTGGAACGTCTTCGCGCATGTGCCTCTCGAAATCGGCGATCCGAGCTGGAGCCCGCATTCGCTGAGGGACGTGGCCGCCAACATGTTCCCCGGGTACGCACACAGCAGATACCGCGAGAGAGTGTTCAAACGCCGACATTTCTTTGCGAATCTTGTTACTTCTCTACCTCCGGCGATGCGGCCACTGGTCAACCCTCTGGAGCGAGCGCGCCAGATCCTGGTCAAGGCATACAAAATTGCGGAGAAGTCGAGAGCCTGCATAGACCACAGCGCGTTCGTGGGTGTCCATGAAAAGCTGGCACTGATATACAAGGAGATGGCGGATCTTTCGGGCGACATGAAGGTACAGAGCCTGTACGACTTCAACAAGGCTACCAAAAGAAAGACTGAACCCTCCGAATTTGCTCCCTCCACAAAGAGGCGCAAAACGTGAGCGGGTCGCCGGTTGTGTATATTTACTCATTCGACGGGCGTAGGCCGGACTGTTCATTGCATTGGATTTTGTATCGATATCGTGTGGCCATCTACTGTATGTACTAATATTCAATCGCGGACGTCGTTCGATTTACTTTCATGTCAAGGGCTCAGTGCAAGCGTGATTGCCATGGGCACCGCTCTTTCGTAAGGAAGCTTTCCAGGCAATCCAGGCATCCTGTCAATACATGGAGCTGAGGGTTTACGCCGTTCTGCAGCTGTACTAGCAGGTAAAGAGACCCGGGTAAATGTCTTGTCAATGACGCCCGCGTCCATCCGCACCGATGCTCGATAAAGCCAAGATTGGCACCAGAAACATTCGTCGGCACCCGCAAATAAATTCCATGGGTAGATCAAGTCTGCCAGGGAAGCTCTTCTCAGTGACGGCGAGAGATATTAGGTTGCTCGATTCAAACCGGCAAGGATAACTAAGTGAAACACGAGTAAGCAATTCGCACACAGAGAAAAGAAGGATGAAGACCCGAATCAACACATCTCGGTACATCCCAACTGCATACACCGCACACCCTCCATCACGAGTGCCTGTTGTCCTCAGGCGGCTCCGCATTCCACGCCTTATAGACGCGATCGCACACGTTCCGCGCCAGCACCCAAGGATCGCGCGAGCACGCCTTCTCCCACACCCGCCCCGCGAGCGCCCTCTGCGCGCCGCTGCTTACAGACTCGTCGAGCAGCACGAGCGCCTTCTGCGCAGGCGCCAGTAGCGTGTGCACGTCGTCCGCGATCGAGCTCACCACGGTCGGCAGGTATACTAGCGTCGACGATCTGCGGGTCTGCCTGTCAGTGCATGCAGGGAAGAGGGGAAACAAGGGGAGGCCCACGGTGTGTAGTCGGGGTGGGGTCGCCGTGGCGGCGGGTACAGGCCGGGAACGCGCAGGAGCGTGGATCGCTGGCTGCGGATGAACGCGCCGTAGGCCTTCTTGCGCGCGTCTTCGAGGCGCGCAGTACGGAGATCGTGAGGCATCGAGTCGAGTTTTTCCGTTGCTGCAGCGAAATTATGGCCGTACCAGACGTACCATCCCTCCTGCCAGTAGCGTAGGTCCTTCTTCGCGCTCGCTGAGTTTCCGCCTGAGTTCCCACTCACGCCTTTCTCTGCCGCATTCCGGGTCGCAGCATCACGCGGTTGGTTCTCTGGCGGAAGAGGGTGTGGTGGAGCAAACGTGCCCAGCGGTCCACGGAAACCTCTAGTGGTTTCTGTAGGGGCAACGTAGCGGAAACAGATGGAGCGGCACTTTGGCGGCGCGTTATGCTGGCGCCCGCTTATGGTCTGAGTGCAGCGGACGAAGCAGACCTCGTCTACGTTGTCGCCTCTGATTACTGTAGACGATATGTGAAACGTTCGCAAGGTGGCAGTAGATATGGGTGTGCTTACGAGTCGTCCTCTTCGACGGCCTTGTCTTCATGGGGTGTGGCGTCGGACGCGGCGAGTCACCATTGGGTCTCGACGAAGACTGTGCCTCGTTATCAGACGGAAAGCTCATAACGAACGGTCAACTCGACGGGCGCGCGGGCAATGGTGGGCAACGGTGAAAGTGTTTACAGAGAGGCTCTGGACAGGCAGCACGCTCACTCAAGGCTGCGGCGGAGTTTCAAGTAAGTACCAGAGTTCGCTGCGCGCCAAAATACCGAACTTGCATGCGTATATAGGTTGAAAACATTCGGTGCATGCACTTTCAATGACGCTATTTGGAGAGGACAAGAAACAAGTGGATCTCGTATTAGATGTAAGGTATAGTATTAGTGCAGACATCGGCAGCAAAGGGCGACGGTGGGATGCGGTACAAGGACGCAGGAGACGTGTCTGTCGAAGATTCATTTCGTTAGCACTGCAAAAGATACGCGGACAAGTCAAGGGTAAAAAGGATTGATCAGAAGTGTCAAGGTTTTGGAGCCCGCCCCCGAGAGACAGTGTCTGACGAGGTATAACACCATGAAGAAATTCAAGA